TCAATTTCTGATGGTAAAGAGAAGGTTGTACATAGACAGGATATTATGGTCTGTTTTTTTATTTTCTGACCATTAAATGTACAGTCTGAGTATACTTAAATATGTTGAATACATATTGAAATATAGAATAAGCACTTATTATCTCAAATTCTTTGAGATACTCTGTAAAATGGAACTGGCAACACAATAAAACCCATCAGTGTTAGGCAAGCATGGAGACAGAAATTAATTTAAAACAGACAAAGAGCTAATATGAAAAGAGCCACTAGTGATTTAACCCATTTTTAAAAAGTGTAATGAAAATATAAAATGCATTCAGATTGTTCCATAATAATACAACGGTTGTGGCCATTGAGTGGACTACTGATGCCCCCGTGAGATAGTAAGGAGAAAATGAGTCCTTCATACCATTTCCATGAAAATTTTAGGTTTCTGTTTGATCAGCAGGTGCTGTTGAGATGAAAGCCATGCGTAAATTTTCAGAAGGCCAAAAGTGTCAATTCAGAAAAGGAAAGTGATAAGAGAAAATGCAATCAGTTTTCCTGTTTTCAATTTGTGCAGAATTTGAAGAGCTGTTTTGTTAAACTGCTACATCTGCTCCAATATGAATATTGAACTACTTCCTCTAAAAATAACACCCTATAATTTGCAAGCCACTGCAATCTTTTGTTAATGTGAGTGGGTTGAGGAAAAAAACCTGTTCTGAAAAAAAATCTCTAGCTTAATGTGCATTTTTACTTATTGGCATTTTTTCTGGAGTAGGAAAAAATGGTATTATGTAGTTAGGACTCCATCACAGTGATGGACCATAACAATGTATCTTCATAACTAACACAAGTATATTCAGCAAGTACATTTTAATTTTTGAAAAATTAGTTTTGAAACCAAAGCCTTACAATAATGTTGCAAGCTCAGATTTAGTATTTATTGCAATATAGCCTTTATTCATTTTCTTCTGCTTTTACACTCTCTAAAGAAATACACTGTAGCCTGTTTCTTATTATACCAGCAAATCAAAATTTTAAGGTAATCAAGAGTATTTTAGTTAATAGGGCTTTCAGAGCTACTTTTTCCATATTTAAATAAAATGATTAAATTATACTTGAGTGTATTCATTAAAAATCCTCTTCAGTAGTGTTGTTAATCAAGTTTTATAGAATGTACAGGACACACATTGTGAGAAGCAGCGGGGATTAGAAATTACAGAGTAGGCTAGAGAAATAGCAAGGTATTTGCAAATGAAGATTTTGAAATATAATTTTAAAATAGTGAAGCTTTACAAAAGTGACCTAAATGATGTGGCAGTCCTCTGTGATCAAAATAAAAAATAATATAGTATGCAAAGAGACATTTCCAGTACATTTATACAATAATTATAGTATAGGTACAGAATCCATGTTTCAGAGTAATTTTAAAAAATCACCTTTTTCTGTGACAAAGAATGTAAGAATTGTAGTTCCAGTATAATTGCTGTCACAAATTGAAATAAGCTAAAAATGGAATTTAAAGTTGAAATTCATACATCCTGCTATTGATGTCAGTGGAATTATGCACAAGTAGGGGAAAAATCTTTGAAGGTTCTTAAGTTTTGTTTTATTTCCTTTGCCAGATACCTGGTATGGTGACCTTTGAAATAAAAAGAAGCATCTTAAAGAAAGCATAGTTCATTATTAGAACCAGCTCTTGTAAATTTGCCTTTATGGGCAAGACTCCATCTAGTGGAGTGAATCTGCTCCACCAGCAGTAACAAGCACATGGGGCCATTTTTTTGCTCTTTGACACTTACAGTGTTAACATTTCACATTATTGTTTCCAACAGGTTACTCTGTGTCACATGTTAGAAATGTCACATGTTATATTAACTGCTACCTGAGAAGGTAGTTTCATGGCCCACATCAGTTGTATAAGAACCTATAGTTAACTTGGTGGCTATGGGATGCTTCAATATGTCTGCCTGGCTGGATGTTAATATGCCATTTGCATAAGTACCAGTCATTACCACCAACCAGTTTCCCTTTGTGATTCACTTTATCTGAAGAGCTATAGACTACATTTCTTGCCTGACTGATGATGACCGCACAGTCACCTCCCTAGGTGGTAGTTCAAATGTCATGTTTCAATTCCCTGGGTCAAAAGACTTTCCACAATGGACTGTCTGGCTGATGTTCTGTTTTCAGTGTAACATTCCTTCATTTGCCTGGGAGCAGCAGGAATCAAACTACTCTTTCATCATTTCATCATGACAAGTTGCCTTAATGCGTGCAGCTAGGGTTACATCAAGACTTTACATTCTAACACATAAACAGTCCAGCCATATTTTTGCTTCTCATTACTAGTATAAATAGTAAAATGAAAAAATAAAAACAGAAACCCAAACAATTGGTGTCTGCTTTAATATCCAGGCTAAGTGGCTACATGTTTTCAAAACAATTATCTGGTAACAAATTAAGATGTCATTGTTTCTTCTAGACGGGGGTGGAAGGTCATAGTTCTGAAGAAGCAGGCCATGGTGTAAATATGTGTTGCATTTATAATGTCCATGGTTAGGACAGATTTTTGCTTGTGAACTTGAGACATTGCCTGCTGTCAGATTAGATAGTATTGCTGCAGACCAGCTGTGCCTAATGTGATCTCTTCTAGATATTTTAGACTACACGCCCCATCATCCCTGAGTATGGGAGTTGTAGTGCAATATGTTATCCTCTACATTGGAAGGTGTCCTGTTGGGCAAGGCTGGTATAGACAGGACATAGTATTTTCTGGGATAAGGCACTTCTTAAGAACTAAGAATACAGAATTGCTACATAGACCAGCTTGGAGCATAGATAGTGAGACAGACAGGAATTGTTGCTGCAACATAAGATAATTAGAATGCTACAGGAGAGGCAGTTAACAATACTTCAGCAAAGGAAATTTGGGAAGAGTGCTGTAGTAGATTAAGAAAGTATGCTCTAAGGGACTTCCAGGTAGGATTGTTTGTCAAAGTGATTATGCTGCTCAGCTGCCAGAAACTTGATAGTGTTGCCAGACATTTATGGACAATGGCGCCAGGTTGTTGGTTAGTTCTTAAAAAAGAAAAAAGAAAACTAGTGCTGTAACTAGGTAAAAGCAGAGCAGTTATAGAAAAACTACTATGGCAGGATTAGGCAGCCTGGTGCCCTCCAGATATTTAGAACTACAGCTCTCATCATCCCCAGCCAGCATGGCCAATAGTCAAGGATGATGAGAGCTGAGGAGGTTTCTGAAAGTCCAACAGGAAAAAAGGAGCCTTCATCTAACATTTGTGTTTTAAGTACACAATCTCCTGAGAAAGAACAGTAAGCAGCACTGATGATTTGAAGTCATGTGAGTGGGATGGTATAAATCGATGACCTGCAACAACAGAGGGTTGGATCTGATGGCCTTCTTGGCCTCTCCCAACTCTACTATTCTATGATTCTATGTAGCTTCCTAGCCAAAATACTACTTTCCATTAAGGCTATATGTTTTGACCTGGGAAAAGTCCATGCTCTGCCCTGTGCATACCACTTCCATAATCTCTTAAATATGTCTCCTTTCATTTAATACAACTGACCTAGCAGAACAAAGTAGTATACTGTTTTTTCACCTGCTAAAAGAGTGGAAAGCTGCAATCTTATACTTAATTACCTGGGAGCAAGCCCCACTGAACCCAGGGGGACTTATTTCTAAGTAAACATGGATAGGATGTCACTATTACTGGGTTACCTAAAGAAGCAATTGGCAAATGTGTGATCCATAGCATTGGTATTTAGTGTTGGAAAAATCTGTTTGATTCACTTTCTATAAAGTTGCTTTGTGTCTGTTGCACATCACTTCGTGAATGTTATTTCAAAATTCTGTGTAAAGCTGTGAGAACATTTTTGTATGTGGTTTCCACATATAGATACATTTTTCCAAGCTCATAGAGTAGGTATTTTATTTTATTTTATTTAAATCAGAACTTCATTGCACAGTGTGGATAATGTCTGATGCATAATGACATTCTATGGTTTGCATATTAGTTTAGAAAGTGTGAATTAGATTAGTTCATATTAAAATAGAAACCAGTCAAATTTCTCACATGTTCCTACTGGCGTTATTCTGCAACTATGTTTCTTCTCAAATTTCTTAAACTATGCTAAGAGAGAATTGCTTTGGTTCACTATCTGGTCAAGTATTTTGTTCTCTGCCTTTGAAATTACAACATCACAGTGCTATTGTCTCCAAGCAATATTTAGCATGACAAAATAAATGCATATATACTGGTGTAGCAGTCAGGGGAAAAAAACTTAGCAATTTGTCTTGATCAGCGCCTTGCTTAGTGGTAGGACACAGGATTTCCATGCAGGAAGTCCCAAGCTTAATCTCTGGCATCTCTAGTTTAAAAAAAAAAAAAAAAGATGAGGTAAGATGCTGTCTGGGAATGGGCCAGGACTGAGGCTCTAGAAAGCTGCTGCTGCTTCAGTAGACAAGATTTTGATTGAGAGATAAATAATTTGCCTTGACAATAGGCAGCTTCCGGTGTGGGTATGGTGTTCCTGCAGGAGAATAAAGGTGTCATGCATACCCAGGACTGACCCTATTTGTCTTCTGAAACACCAAAGATCATATCATGTGGCATTTTGAATCTACATAGACTGACAGGTCAAATCATACAATCTATTGTAGTAGAAATTGAAGGTGCAGCCCCCCCCCCCCCCGCCTTGATCTGTGTGGGGTCCATAGTGAGGTCATGGGGGAAGGGTTAAAGGCTCCCCACTCTAGGGCCCCAAATCAGATTACCTCTCTCTGCCTACACTAGGTGGCTGGTGGTGGTGGTGGTGGTGGTGATGATGATGATGATGATGATGATGATGATGATGATGATAAACACTAGCTGTTAGGTTGTCTTGAAGGGCATTACTTTTCATGTATCGTAAGTGAATGATATAGTTACCTTGGAGCCCTATGTAAGCCAAAGGAGAAGAGGCTTACAAGTATAATTCATAATCTGCTTGCAGGATTGTATCTGTGACTTAATAACTGGAAGGAGTTGAAGAATCCCGCATTCAGATCTGTCAGAGTTAACATCTGAGAATTCCAGGTAAGGAGAGTAGCAAGACAGATTAGACAGCTGTGTGATTCTTTCAATTTTGCTTTATAAATGATCACTTTATATTTGTGTGTGTGTGTGTGTGTGTGTGTGTGAGAGAGAGAGAGAGAGAGAGAGAGAGAGAGAGAGCACAAGCGAGCAGAGATCAGCTGACAATAACAACCGTGGCAGCAGCAGTAAGCAAACCATGTTTGCAGCTGGGTGATTACAGAAGTCCCTAAGATCTGTGACTGTCAACCATGAACACAGATGCCTTCCAAGTTCTGTTTTTCTTCTGTATGGAAGTCATTGGCATGGAACAGATGCCTTCATTTTGGAGAAACCAGCCTCTGAATATAATTGGCTCTATCTTCTCTTTGTTCTCTGGGGACTGTCCCTCTTCGATGAAATTAGATGGTGGGGGAAATGCATGCAGAGAGTTCTCATAGTGTTTTCACTGTGATATATGATACTGATCTATTTGTAAGCTCATATTTAAAGGTGCATTGTTTTCTGTAGTTCCTTTGTAAATTAGATATGAAATGTTTAAAATCTGGAATCAAGTATTCTTCCTGGCTAGTGAGATTGGGAGTTGATTGCTTTTTTGTCACATGATTTAAACTACACTTTAATAACAGGAGTTTCAAATTTGTAAACATGCAAATGAATGATTATATACAAATAGTCTATACCTATTTTTAAAATTCCACACTGAAATGTGGCAAGTTTTTGGGAGAGCTGTTGTGCACTTTCAGCAGTTTTTTCCTTGAAACATGCTGCAGCATTGCTTAAAAAAATAAAATTTTAAAAATGAAAGTAGTGGTGGTTCTAAGGGAGGGTCAGAGTGGTTTTGAAGGAAGGCAGAAAAATGAACAATAGGGACTTTCATTTTCTTTAGTGGAAAGCAGGATATTTTAACTGATTCATTTTAATGGCTTATAAAATGGCTGGGGTTGGATCTAGAACACAATTTGGAGCTGATGGTGTTATTCCACCAATTGCCTGGAAACCACAGGCAAATGGATTTTCCTTCCCTTCTACAGCCCTTCCTGCTTTCTCCAAAACAGGTTTTGGGAATGCAGAAGATTAAGATGTTGGATTTAAGCTACCATTAAGTGGATTAAGTTCCCATTTAAATCAATGGGACGTAAGTCATGATAAATTTGTTCCATATATATCAATGGCACCTAAAGTCTACTAGCTCAGTCTGGATTCAACTCATTTAAACAAATGATACATACAAGTAGGAAATAGGTGATCCATCCTTGCTTCATAAGCAATGCCAACCTTTATTTGGGTTGTACCCAGTGGTGTCATTTATTTACTTAATATATACCCCACCTGTCTGCCAAAAATGGTGCTCAAGGCACACATTAGTGCAAAGCTTCTATTGCTTGCAGAAATTTTGCTTTCATCCTTGCTTAAATATAAATCCAATTCTTAGATTCTCTTTGTACAAGCCCCTTTACAAGCTCTCACAGGACTCCTAATGAACACATCAGTGCTTGTGCTCATGTTGCATGTGCATGTTGTTCTGCAAGCACAAGAGGAACAATGCCACCACTTCTCCTCTTTCCACTAGTGCAACATTGGCCACAGCCCACTGCAGTCTTACGTAAGCTGTATGAATCTGAAAAGGATAGATGTTCATGGGCTCTCCAAACCGTGGTTTGATTGAAATGAGTCCTGCAGTAGTTCTTTCAGTCTTTTGTTCTTTGCAAACTTGGCTTTTCTCTTGGCTTATAAATATTAATTCATACCTAGAAGCCAGAACATCCCTTTCTTCTTCCTAGAATTATTCCTGAAATATTTGAAATGCTGTAATCCCCTTGTGTTGTTATATTTAGTTTATTCTCAGTTTAGCTCTTTAAATTACCAGTGGTGGTGGCTGAGTGAAGTTGGCTGTCCTCCAAAACAGATGATAAACTGGAGGTGTGATGTTTCATGTTATAATTGCTCATGGATGCTGAATCACTGTTCAGTATAGAAGTGTGTTGCCAGTTAGCTTAAGTGTGTCTCTCTAACATCTAGGATTGAAGATGGCTTCATATTTAAGTCTATTTTTCAAGCATTAAGATCTTAATGTTCTGACTTAATCTGCATAGATCAGTATACTTAATATCTTTTGAGGTTGTTTTTCAGTAATGTACACTTACAATTAGCTATGCATTCTTTACATGGTTATTCTTTACCATGCAGTCTAACCTAGGATCAAGTCAGCTTGCAAACCTGGGCAAATTTATATGGGAATAAGGCCAGTGAATATAGCAGGGCTTACTTTTGACTGAATATATACAGAATTGTTGTGTAAATCATCAAGAGTTTAGAATGACAAACTAGGAATGTTGAAATTTGGTTTATATCTTTACTCAGTCATGAATCTTAACTTGTGTCAGTCTAAATCTCATAGCCCAGCCTATTCCACAGGTTTGTTGTGAAAATAAATTGCAGGGCAACAGGCAACCCTATATTCTACCTCAGTTTCCTGGAAGGAAGGATCAGCTATTTCTTCTTTGCAAAGAATGAGCCAGATTCTTTGTAAAGCTGGTTTCTTTTGTCTTCCATTTGTTTTCCATGATTTGGCATACACACATGCACAGAGAGACAAGGGTTCTTGAGTCAGGCATTAGCTTCAAAATCTTTTTTCCCTTTTTGATACCCAAGCATTTATGCTCTCTCAGGAGAGAAGACAGTTTCCCACATTCTGCCCCATTCTGCCGTCAGATCTGTTGCATTCTGTTATGACCAAGAAAGAGGACGCAGGGCATGACTACACAGATTAGAATCCATGTACTCTTTTATTTTCTTCCTGGTTCCACAGCTTTCGATGGGACTTGAGAGCTGACCTTTGTGACGTAATAGTAGCTACCATACCTTTGTTTTCTCATTTCCTGCTCTACAATATATGTGCATCCTGTTTGTACCTGCTGCTTGGAAAGGGTCTCTATGGGGACGGAGTGGAGGATGTGTTGATATTATCAACCTCCAACCCACAATGCTGAGACTGTGTCCCAACAGATGCCACTGCCTAGAGCTCTCCTGTAAGAAGGACCCTCTGTCTTTTAACAACTGTGTCACTCTTGTTATGTGGAATGCATATGTGCAAGCCCTGCCTTTTTGTTTCTGCTTTACCTCTCTATGCTCTCAGATGTCATGGATATACATTTTACAATTTCTCTACCTGGACAGTAGACCTGGTTGTTTAATGCTAAGCAATATTTGCTCAGACAGATTTACATTTTAGTGGCAGGCTGGTACCAGTTTCTTTCTGCCCAAACCCATGCAGAATTTCAAAGGGAACATTAAAATTGGTCCTTCAAGCACATGTACACAGACCATGAAGGGAAGTTACAACTATACACTCAAAACATAGTGATCTCTTTTGTGCATAATACTAACCCATGGTCTATTTAATTTCTGGTTTGTTGTCCTAGCCAGGATTTGTGTGTCAGAGATTTGGGCTTTGTTTGTTTTCATTCTCTGGGTCCTCTCTTCTACACCTTGACTTCATTCCTCCCTGTATCCCAAATACCTTTGCATTGCTGTAGAGCTGGCATGTAGAAGGGATGGTCTATTTAACTGTATTTACCCATTGCCTGTGTAGCCAGGATTTCAACATAATGCTCCACATGTTTCTAGTTTTGAATGTAATGACAACTGACGGTTAAACAACCTGGTGTTTAACCTGGGTTAAACAGCCCTACATTGGTTCTTTTTTGGCTAACAAACCAATTTTTCGCATGACTACACTCCCACATCATGACAACCCAGAATTCAACAATCCACACCACAGGTTAGCATTATTGTGAATGAGGCCATTTAAAAAAATGGTTCTGCAAGTATGAACTAGCTTTAGTTACATGATCAATTGCATATAGTAAATGGGAATGTTACTCTATATTGAATAATCCAGTGCTGACAGCCATCTAAAGTTTCCTGAATATTCTGATTCATTTTCAGTCTTTTATCTAATATCATCTCTAATTTCACCTACTGTTGTTGCAGAGTACCAAAGGGCTGACATCATGAATTATCATGATGTAAATATACCCAGGTGAGTCTTCAGCTACCCCTCTCGCTTTCTGTCCACATAGCTGCAAGGAAATGAGTTTACTTCTGATTTGATTAACTACAATTTTAGCATTAGGCCCTAAACTGTAGATAACCTTACCTATGATTTGTTGAAAGAAGCCAACTTTATAACCATGGCTCGAAGTAGAATTGATTCAAACAAGCCATTGTTAAGATTAACCTTTTTGTTAAATTGTATGAAATGCCAAACTCTGGACAATTACAGAAAGAAAGAGCACGAGAGAAATATTCCAATGGCCTTGTGGTTGCAGTGGAGATGTAAAGTGGACCGCAGCATGCAGGGCCAAACTGTGGCAAGGCTCATTTCAGTCCCAATACCACACAGTTGTATTGTGATAGCCAAATGCAGCCACAGACTTGTTCCTCCACACCCCAGCCCTAAGCTGAGTTCCTGACATGCCAACATGTAATAAGAATGTATGTATAACATGACTGCTAACTGTATTTTGGTGACTGTCAGGTTAGGGGGGGGGGAGAGAGAGAGAGAGAGAGAATAATATGCAAATTCTGTTAATTACATGGCAGCAGCATTGGTGAAAGAGCTGTGTCTGTCTAGCTTCTGATGTATTTCCCATGTTGTTCTCTGTTGCTGAACAAGTTGTTCAGAGGAAAAAAACTTAATTGTAATGTGATGCTGTATGTGCTTAGGTGAGGAAGAGATTCCTGGCAGTAATGAAGCAATACAGGAATTGGTAACTGCACTCGATCTTCTTTTATGTTGATTTTGATATGTGCAGTCTTTATATCCTATTACATTTTTGAAAGATAAACTGATGCAAGAATGATTTGCCAGGCCCAGTGACTCCTCTCCTTAAAACCTTGGCTCAGCCAAATTTCTTGGAAGGGAGTGGAAGGAATAAGATAAAAGTGCTTTGACTATGAGGTTAACTGATTTCAAATAGGAGGCTCTCTCAAATTATTGCATTCTGCACAAAATAAATACATTTCGCATATGGTTAAGATTGATCAAAAATATTCTGTATGCCAGTGATTACATTCCCATCTGTGATTAAGGGTTTCTGACGGCATCTGGTTTTCACATTATATTTCTGTAACAAGAATCTTTTATATGGCAGAGTTCATTCTCTGTATTTTCTATTAACTGCAGCTTGAACTACTGCACGGATCACAGATTTACACACATGGCTTTAATTACTTTATACCATTGAGAAAAAGTAATATTTGTTTGGGAATGTATGTTTTTCACTATTTCCATGGTTATACAACATGATGAGCTTTTTAAATACCATTCTTCTGGAGAAATACAAATTGTTTAAGGCTTTCTGCTTGAAAATGGAGTGTTTGCAGGATGGGAGTGGGAAGCCCCCCGTTCACGGTGGAGCACATGCCTTGAATGCAGACAGCCCCTGTCTCACTTGCTGGAATCTGGGTGGGGCTTCCTGAAACCCCGGAAAACTGCTGCCGCGCACTGTCAGTGGCACTGGGCTAGACAGGCTACGGGGCCAACACAGTATATAGTGGCTTCTTACATTCTTATGTTGCTTTTGAGCATATTTCCATTTGTCTTTTAGCTGCAAGAACTAGCATGTTAAACAACAAAATAAATGTATACCTTTCTGGTTATTCCCGGCATGTTTGCTATTCCTTATTTGGAATAGTGGACAGTGTTCTGGGTGCCTGCCAACATCAGCCATATTGGACTAGCATGAATGACTGCTAGTGGAAGAGGAAGCAAGCGCTTCATGGTACAATCCATTCTGTGCACTCTGCTGGCTCATCTTGTTCTGGAACTGCTAGTTTGAGCTAGTTTCTGGTCGGGCTGCCAGCCACTAGCTTCCCATTGGGCCAGTAGTAATTCCCCCTGGTGCAAGGGCCAGCATAATGAAAGCAAAGGCATTAATAATAATTATAGCAATAATATACAGATGGTGGCATAATTAACAAGAAAACTTAGTTGAATAAATTTGTGTGCTCCTACATCAGTTTGTGTCTGTGGCTGTGTGTATACCCAGCTGTTGCAAGGAGAGTAAAGTGGATAAACGAAGCACAAAGATTGCCTTAGAAAGGATTGCTGAATATCATGTTATATTTAATGAAGATATTTATCAAACACTGTGACTCTGCATAGGGTAAATAAAATGGGTGGAGAAATTCCATTTCCTTAACAATTTAGTTTGTATTTCCAAGTTTTCTTGAAAATGAGCAATTCAGCTTTTCTACCTTGTACTCAAGTTATTATATTAATAGACTTTGAAGAATCTGTGTTAAGTTTTGAATAGCCTTTGTATGTTTATCCTACAGATTGTCTTTTCCTTACAGTAAGACTAATCTATGAAATGCATGGAACTTCTTGATAGGTCAAATAATTAGAGGCATCAAAGGCATCCTAAATTCATTTGTCTCCAAATTATACGGAATGTCTCTTGAATATGTTTAATGTTATAGAAAGATTATTCAAAGAACGAAAGCTGATATTTTTGTAGGAAAAGGAACTTTTGTATTTGGTAAATAAGAACCATATTGAGTTGGCAAAACAATGTTGCTTCCAAGCTGAGTAACAGAATTTGGAAACTATTTTAACAATATAATGGATATTTTGTCAAACTGAAAACTTGACAAGTATCTCTTGTGATACTATTGCTAACTTTACACATATGTTTAATTCCCATTAAAATTTATAGGAATTTGTTTTCAAAGACTTATGAGAATCTTTTTGAGGTTGTTCAGACAGTATTATGTCCAGCACCAGAAACCCCCTACAATGTAGGCACCAAGCAAGTCTCTCTGGGAAGAGTGTTCCTTTAACAAGTTTCCAAAAACCCTCCTTTTAGTTGGTGCCCACCTGCTTCATCTCATATGGTATGGTGGGGATACCTGGAGAAAATCTGAAAATGATCTTAGGATCTGGGCAGGTATATGGCCTTTGATTAGCCTGGCTCCAAGATGTATGGGCTTTAAATCTTAATACCTGTATTGATCAAAAGTTCTCTAGGTAGCTTATATGTTCTGAAGCCCCATGACTGATTACAAAGCTTTGAATTTGACTCTGTATGTCATTTAAGATCATTTTGTTGTTAATAAAGTACCAGTGGGACCTGCAACAAAATGTTGCAGCGTGCAGTTTTCCTATTCTTTTTTAGTCAGTCAGCTATGGCTTTTGCCCATTTCATTCTAACTTCTTTGATTTCTATATTTTGCACCCAAAAGTTACCATTCCATTGTCTCTGAACATGGTTGGTCCTCACAGCACTGTTTGCTCTTCTTCCCACTGCATCACATTCTTTTTTCGCTTTGAAAGTACTTTGGTACTTCTGCAAAGCGTTGGCATTTGGGTTTCTTCAAGCCAGTTTGTGAGTGTGGTGTGATGGTGCCTGCAGCTGGAAATAAAGGGAAAGATGATAAGACCATGCACTTTATCTAGTGCAGCAACTTGAAAGCTGGAGGAAATAAATGCTGATTTCCTGCAAACCCATGGTATGTTGTACAACATAACAAACACAGTGACAGGAAGATCCTGGATCACTGTGGCTTTGAAAGCATGGTGGCTTAGAGTGTTGTCTGAACCTGGGATGACTTTGCCAGGGTGGCTTATGTTTGGCTTACAAGCCGTGGCTTGTGGCATGCTTTGTTCGCTCCACAGTGACTTGCAGTAATATCCAAACTTAGATGATGTGACCCATGGGGGCAAGTCCAACAACAGGCAAACCACATGCCATGAGAAGTAAAATCAAGTTTTGCTTGGTGGCTGCAAGGTGGCAGAGGCACATTCTGGAGGGTTTGCTATAGAGGAGGCCATGCAGAACATAACTTAGATACCCACAGAGAGGAATTGCTCTTGAGTATCCCTGTTCTGTTGGGGTTGCCCTACCTGTTTCGGTCTGGTGGTGGGACAGAGGTTCCTGCAGCCATCTGCTGCAGCCAACCATTTCTTCTGGGTATGTTGCTGGGTGGCACCATCACTCGAGACTACTTTGAGTAGTCTGAAGTGATTGATGCCATCCTATTCTCCCTTCTCTAGTGCCACTGTTAAGCAACATCAGGGGGAAACCTTGGTACTCCCACTGTGTTCCCAGTTGGGCTCATCACTGGTGGGGTAGCTACAAGCCACACTGTGTAGCTTTCTATGTAGTGTAGCTTAGTGTTACACCAACTGTCCCAATATATATGGTATTTGTATAATGCTCCTCAGGGCAATATAATAAAGGGAAGTACTGCTAAGAAAACTATTTTTTCCAAAATGTAAACTGGTTCCATTTTTTTTGGTCAAATCATCCCAAATACTGGAGGTTTATAAGGAGCATATTTAAGAAATATTTGGTTGGCTTTCAACTGCATTCTTGAGTTCTAGTCCGATATTCTAACCACCATCTATACCCTTGGTTGATTAAATTATCCCTTTGAACCAGATGAAAGGACCCCACAGATTTGGCCTCTCTGAACAGGTACTGAGTGGAAGGAGGCAGGACAGGAAATTATGCTATGAAATACTTCCATTTTCAATGAATTATTTATCTGAGCATAACTAGTTTTTCCAAGCATGTAGTCTAGAACTACCAGGCTACTGAATGTTTTGAAGTCAGCTTTCAGGAAACCCAGGCTGCAAAATACTTAATGTCACCTAAAGGATTTGCCACATTTACCTGGTTTAATTCTACTGAAAGCAGCAGGAATATGTCAGCCCAGGTGCAGCTATGCTGCTTTATAGAGGTGAGAGAGAATCATATGTTTTTTGTGGTGAAACCCTATTAACATATAAAGTCTCATGAAGGAGTTTTGTGATTGTGGAGGTATCTTAGCTCAGTGGCAGAACACATGTTTTAGACGGAAAAGGGCCCAATTCAATCCTTGCCAATTTTAGTTCAAAGTGCCAGGCATCACGTGATAAGGAAAGCCTCTGCCTAAATCCTGCAGAGCTGCTGCATGGTAGGCATGTCATGAATGGCCAGCTGGAGCTGGAGATCAAACTAGATGACCCGGGAGGCCCCTTCTGACTCTCTATGTTTCTATAAAGCAGTTCCCTACATTTCTGTAAATAATCAACCACTATTAACTCTTGGGGCAATATCCAACAGGGCAGTTTCCTTCCACTCTGCAAGCTCCTTTTTCAAACCGGGGGTCACAACAATTTTGTTTCACAACAAGTGGGCCCATCACCTAAACAAGGTAGATTTAGTGCTCCCTTGAAGAGGCTATGTAGTGAGCATAAATGTTAGTTTCTGGAAAGAGGAAAATCCTGCAAGATATGAGTATTTATGCTTGTTTCAGGTTGTGCCTGGTGTAACTAAATCACCATTGTAAAATTGATGGAGCAACTTATGCACCAGAATTGGTGGGCACAGGGCATATCAGCAATGGTGTAAGCAGCCGATTGGACATTGGACCTAGTTTCCAACCTGTGCTTGATATTAATTCTTCAACTCATTGTACATCTAGCTTTTCCCAGAAAATTAAAAAAATCATAATAAATCATTACTTTAAATACTTAAATGTGATAATTAAGTATTGGCTTTAAGGTTTCAGTCATTATTTCTGTTATCTATTCATTCAAAGGGGATATAGTGTTATGTGACTAGAAGGCTTTGTGCTTCAAACTGGCTGTGATATGTGCATTTTTGTTTTTTTTTCCTTTTGTTGTTGTCAATAGAAAAGATTGATCTCTGGGCTGGTGAACGTAAAATCTGTCCCAGTCAGAAAAGGAGAGGAAATTAGCAGGACGATTGGTGGAGAATGATATCTGTCAAAAGAAACACTTGGAGAGCACTGAGTTTAGTAATAGGTGACTGCCGGAAAAAAGGGAACTTTGAATTTTGCCAAGGTAAGGACCAGATTTGTAATTAACCTGCTATTTTAAACAAAAAAAATCTGTTTATTGTGCTTGTTTTCCTTTTAACTGTGCTTTTAAATCTTCTCCTTGTTATTCCATGTGATTTCGACCTTTACTAAATTATTTGAAATCTAACTTTGTAGGGTTCTCAAAGTTTACATGGCATGCATGGAGAAATTGTGCAGGGGAAAATGGTCAATTCACAGCTGTCTCAAACTGTGAAATACCTAATTGTGGGAGGGGAACAGATTCATGATATACAAACCCATCCTGCCAATGGATGCATGTGTTCCACCTCCAAGTCCATCTTGTGCAGCCATACTTTGGATGTAAAATCGAAATGATGTCTATGTGCATGCTCCCTATAGGCTAATCTCTGTGATCTTTCTATCTTACTTTGCAATTTTGTGGGATCATAACTGATGGATTATAATTGTGTTGAATTATGTGTTTTATTATGATAATGATGCAGTATTTATTGATGTAGCATCACCCATGTGTGGGCATTTCATGGAGGATAAGAGGACAGTCCTGTGCCAAGCAACTAAAGAACTGACACTGAGGAAGTAGCAAAGGCTGGAAAGGAAGAGGAAGCAGCAGTAAACAGGAAAGCAGTATGCCAGCCTTCCCCATTGTAATGTCTCCCAGATGTTTTGGACTTCAGTGTCCATAAGCCCAAGCTACCAGGAATACTGGGAGCTGTAGTCTAAAATGTCTGAGAGGTGCTAGATTGTGGAAGGCTGCAGAATGTAGCTGATTCAGTTCTGGGGATGGAACAAATGCAGGGGTGGGAGGATCTCTGTTGCAACAGCTGGGGTTGTCCATCGAAGAAAAGAGGCGAGTAAGGGAAGACATGATAGAAGTGTCCAAAGTTAGGCATAATGGGGATAAAATGGATACATAGGAGCCCCCCTCCCCCTCATAATATTAGGCTGATCGGTTGGAAATTCAGGACAGATAAAAACAAGTATTTCTTCTCACAGCCATAATTAGAATATACCATTTATTTTCACAAGGTGTAATGATGGCCAGCAACTGGTATGGCTTTAAAAAGAGATTGGACCAAGACCTGGAGGAGAAGGCGGTCAATGGGCACTAGTCCTGTTGGCTCTGTGTCGTCCATTATCACCAGTTACTGGGATACTTGGGCAGGATGATGTGTTTCAGTCATACCCCTCTTGTGAGTTTCCTGTGGGCAGCAGGTTGGACACTACATGAACAGAAAGCGGGATCAGATGGGCCTCGGTCTGATCTAGCACAGCTCTGCTTATGTCCAGTTACACTTCCTAGGCTTAATTACAGGTGCTTCCAAACAGTATAAGTGACTTTTCAAGAGCAGTTGAGCAAAGATTTGATACCACATAGGTATTTGGTTGGTATCCCAGCATATGAAGTAGTAAAGGAGAAAAGAGTGAGACTTATGAAAGGGCAGAATATTTCTAGGACAACCTTCAACTTAGACAGTATTTCCAATATTACATCTAATGTGTACATGCAAAGTGGACAGGTAAATCAGAGAGCCTGGGACAGAGTGGGACAATATATTTCCACCCCTACCACATTTAAACTATGTGTACTCTGAGCTACATGTGCATAGTGCCTCAGTTTTTGTGTCTCACACAATTTCCTTAAACATTGGAAGTACAGTGGAACCATTATATCTTGTGCTTTAAAAAATTGAGGCTACATCAACAGTACCTTTAAAGCCCTGTTCATATTACAGTTATATTTGTCTGTGTGCAGCTTGAGTTATATTCCTAACACTGTTAGAATTGTGAATTACTGAATTTTTGAAGTGAACTGAATATAACTATAACTATTTCTTGAACTATATTTTATTTTATATTTATTTGAGGCATAAAGTACAAAGGCTATAAGATACATCTATTACAGATGAAAGTGACAATAGATTCCAAGATTTTGGAGTCAATCCATGAAAAACTGTAGCTGTTTCCTGCCATTCTGATCTCTTCAAGCTACAGACTGTTTTTATGCTTGTAGCTGTACCAGAAGGAGGGCATGAGTCATTCTTTGTGCATCCCTACATATGCCCATTCCATATGGGAGCTGTTCTCATTAACCCTCCAATTTAAATGAAATCTCAGCATCTTACTGGATTTTTTAAAAAAACTTTCCTTGAAACTCATACAGATGTTTTATCTTAATAAGTTCCTTTAAAAGCGGTATATACATAGTCTGTCCAAAATATGTATACCATATCTGGGAGAAGATGGTCAAGGGTGTGCCAGAACCTCTCCTAGGCAACCACCATGGCCTTTCCTTGCAGGAAGGCCTAAGTAGTTGAAGAATTTTGGCCCTTTGCCATCTGATACAACCCTTTGTATTTCATGACTCATTCAAATCTGTTATAAGATAGAAATTTCTAGTGAGATACCTTATAACTGCCATGTTTTTCATTAGGAGAATTAAACACATGTCAAAACCCATGCTTTCTAAATGAGCAACTTTAGTTTGATTTTAAGAATTGGAAAGTTTTGAAGACAAGACAGTAAAAGTAGAACACTAAAAGCTTCTTCTCATAAGTAAGCTCATGCATTTAGCATCCAGCTTGGAAATTTGACCACTGATTTTAAATGGAATAGAATTTTGTCCAGCAAATGGAGAGGTAACCCGGCCTGGTATCTTCTGGAACCTAGGAGCTGCTTTGAAAAAATATGTCACACAGCAGCAATGTGTACCACAACCTCTTAGCTTCAGTGGATGCATTTTCTGTATGCTTCTTCATGAGTTGCCCTTTCAAATGGTATGATTAAGGAGCAGATTTCATCAGATCTCCATTAAAACAACAGATGAGGCTAGGTGAATTAGCAGCATTTCTCCCTTCTGATATGCTGCCTAAGCCTGTCAGTGTAATATCATGGGTTACTACTACTGAACTCTAAGGCGAGTACAGGGGATTGTATTCATGGACAATGTCTACCTAAGGTTGATCATTTGATATGCTTGATGTGCTTCTTGAGCTGCTTATCCAAGAAAGGCAACAGCAAAAACACCATTTTTGTAGAAACATAGGTTTGATGTGTTTCCCTATTTGGTTCTATAAACATGGAAACAAATGACCCACACATGTAGGACCGGTGAGACCCAGGCTCAGATCCCCACTGATAGCCTTGAAGGTCACTGGGTGACATTTGGCTAGACTGCACTTCCTGGCAACGAGGTCTCATTGAGAGCTCGATTTAAATCTGTGGCAGTAATTTCTATAGATCTAAGCCTCAAATTCTTTTTAAATGGAAAAAAGCATGGGCTTTCTTTTTGCATCTGGTGGGATAACCTACTTTTTCACTTGTGGATTTTAGATTAGAATTACATTAATTGACTGCCACAGCATCCAAGCAGAACAAGCACAGAAGGTTATAGGACAAAACTGAAACTGTAAAAAAATGCACATTTTCATCCACATTCTTATTCAACTGTCATGTTGGGAAACCTGAGCATGTCTCTGAGCATCCCTAATTGTCTATCGGTAAAAGATAGATTAGATGAAAATAACCATTGTGGGAATCTTACAGAGAGGATTAAAAAAAATATTTTCCCCCATGGCTCCATTATTTCCAGACAATTTACATAGCTAGCCTTTGTTTAAGTAGCTTCTTTTGATAGAGTGTTTAGAAGTCATTTCTGGGAGAGTAAAACTGGATAATACAGTATAAGCACCTTGACCTAAATTCTAAAATAAAATATTTCATAAAACAAAGCTGTTCAGTGTTTCCCATTTTTAAAAAACTAAACCAAAATGGAGAAATGCACCCCACTCCCCAGCCTTCCTATCTCTAATTGGAACAACTTACCATACCTAACTGTAATGAGAATATACTGGCAGGTGGGAGAACCTTCTATCCAAAGATCCTTGGAAAAAGACCAACTGTATAAATATTATAATCAGTAATTTGGGGGAGAGGGTAAAATCCTAGTACTGGGCAAAATAGTAATGAGTAAAAAAATATAATGTTAAGCTTTTGCTGTGCTTAATATTAATTCCCTCAGTAGTTCTTACTATAACCCTCAAATCATTCAATGCATTTATGTATTGCTGTTCCTTCAAGGAGCTCAAAATGGCAGACATGAACCCCTCCATGGGTTAGGATTAGCGTGTCTGGTGCATGGCCACCCAGTGAGCTGCAGCACTGAGTGGCAATGAGAACCTGGCCCTCTCTGATCCTAGTCCCAACTTTTTAAGTTCAATACCATCATGGCTATAAATCACATTAGTATTATCTCCATATTGCAGAAGATGCACTTTTTAAATGTACGTTCTTTCTATTCTGAAGGAAGAACAACTAAGTGTAGTGGAGCGATTAAGAGTGTGGGACTGGGACTTAGGCAGTTTGGGTTCTAGTCCCTGCTCAGTCATGGAGCCAACCGGGCCACTCACAGACTCTCGGCCCAAGCTACTTCACAGGTTGTTGTGGTAGGGACGACAGGAGGGCTAGAATGATGTAAGCCACTTTGAGTTCTATGTAAGAAAAAGATGGGTTGGAAAACTAATAAGTAAACAAATAAATCAAGCAACTATAAAACTATCCTATCATAATATATGAAGATAAGTAGGCAAGTCTGCTGCCCTCCATACATCATGATTTAAGCCCTTCTTTTCTTAATATTTCTAAAAACCAGCTCACAGAAGAAAACCTTAACATTATATATATACACGCACACTGCTTACACACACACACACACACACACACAGTGCTTTTTTTGTTAAAAAAAAAAAAAGGTGCTTGAACTCACGCCACCGGCAGTAAGCGTGTGACCACACACACCAATCCCAAGCCGAGCAGCGGAGCAGCATCCCAAGCTGAGAGCAGCGCCCTCACTATCTCACTATCAGATAGCAGATAGCAGACGCAAAAGCAGCCTGCAGGCACTATGTTAATGATGTTTGCTGCTGATCTGCTACAATTCAAAATCACTTCATAAAATCCATTGGAAAAAAAGGTGCCGGAACACTGTTCCAGTGCGTTCTATGA